ACAAATTATACAAATTCCATCATGATATTGCAAAGATTTCCTTTTTTTAAAGCAATTATTACATATATTATAAGTATTATTTTCCAGTTTATTCATTAATTCAATTGATGTAATTTTTTTAATATAAATATTTTGTAATAAATTTTCATTTTTTGACAATTTATGAAAATAATAAAAAGCCATTTCTGAATTTTTTTCTATTTCTCTTCCACTTTCATAACACATTGCTAAATTAAATATAGCATCTTCATTTCCATTTTCTGTAGCTATTTTATACCAATAAAAGGCCTCTTCTAAATTCTTTTCTGTTCCTTTACCATTTTCATAACATATTGCTAAATTACACATTGCAATTGCATATCCATTTTCTGCAGCCTTTTGATACCAGAGTTATTAAAACAATATATGATTTGAACGTAAATCATAGATTAGATTTAGCTAAAAAATATCTTCATAAATTTGTTACTTGCGAAGATATTGAAAAGAAAAGGACTTTGTTATTATTAATGAAAATCAATCTGTTCTGTTAAAATGTGATGATAAAATTATTGGATGAGTAATTCGTAATGTTGCAAAAAAAAATGTTACAAATCATTTTGGACTTAAAATGAAACTTACCTGTGATGCACATCCTAAAATTAATCGTAAACAAAAAACACATGCTGATTCAGGAAAATTAATTGGTCATGATCTTCATGCAAATTTTTTAGATCCATCATCTACTAATTCATATGTATATAAAAATAAAAATCTTGATTTAGAGATACAAAGAATATATGATGAAGATGGAGATAGTTTTGAAAAATGGTTATATAAAAATGCTAAAGATCATGTATCATGATTAGTATTATCATATGAAATATTAAAGCAAAAAGTAAATTTAAATAATAAACAGAAAATAGGTGCAGTATTTTGTGTAGAAAACTATAAAGCTGCAGGACATCAGAATAAGGATAGATCAGAATTTACAATAGGATTTATTTATGAAATTGGTGTAGTTAAAGAAGGGTATTTTATTTATCCTGAATATAGTGTTACTATTAAAATAACATCAAATTCAATATGGTGTTAGTTAACGCAAGTATATGATATAGCTAAACTTAATTTAAGTGAAGGTGATATTCGATATACTAGTACAATTACTTTAACTGAAAAAACTGCTAAAGCAATGAAAAAAGAAGCAGGTATTATGAAAAATTAGATTTTTTAATTAATTTTATAATAATTTTTATTTTTTTATATATTTTATCAATAAAAAAATCATTAAAATAAAGGTCTAAACTATACCATTTTAATGTTTAATTATCTTATTGATAAAAAAATAATTAACTTTATGCATTTCTAACAAAATTTAAATTTATAGTTTAAATTAATAAAATAAATTTCAATTATTAACTATTAATACATTTCAACTATTATAAAGTATTTCAATTATTAAATGTATAATTTTTATAGTTTTAAAATATTAATTTATTAATAATACTATTTTAAGTCAACTCAAGTCAAATCGAGTTTGAGTCGAGTTTAAATCGAATCGAGTTAAATATTTAATTCGACTCAAATTTGATTTGACTCACAAATCATTGAATCAAAAAAATATAAACTCAACTTGATTTAAATTCGACTCAGCTTATTTGACTCATGAGTTAACTTGACTCGTCCAGAACTCTAATGGTAAACGTAATAATTTAGACCATCTTATATTACTTTGCTTTATAAATCATTTTTATGAAGCATTTGAATTGCAGTATCTCTATTCTAATGCATTTTGATAATGCTCAATTAGATCTCGCATAATTAACTAATTATTATTATTATCCATTCTGGTAAAATTATGCTAATGATTTTCATAATTTGCCTTCTTTTTACATTTATGATATGATACTAAGGCTAACATATTTTTCTAGCAGCTGGTACATCACATAAAATAAGAATTAAAGCTGCACAAATGTTCTTTCCTTTAGAATATTAATATATTTTATCTATTGTAAATCTATCTCAAAGTGATTCATCTACAATTAATGCTAAATAGTAATTTATTTTATGTAAACTGATTTTGCTTAATTTGAATAAAAGACTAAGAGTCAGTAAATTTTTATGTTTAAATCAGATAACACAAGGCAAATTGCATATAGTGGCATATATTACTCTAATATTATAAATAATACCACCATATGGCTGAAATCAGTTGAGATTTAGCATTAATCTAAGATGAGAATCGGCCACTTTATTTTGAAAAAAATTTGCTGAATCTTCTTGTGAAGATTCTTTTAATATATATCACATTTTACCATTATATATATCAGTTATAATGTTGTTAAAACACTGACAATTTATCTATTGTCTCAGGCTAATTTCAAAATTAGGCTAATGATATATAGAAGTGAGTTGTTGTCAAATTCCAAAAAATGGAAAGATTAAATTAGGTCGAATTAAAGTTCGATTTGTCGATATGATTTTTTGAAATAACGGAGTATTGCAAAATCATATTTTGCGAATTAATAAATTGATATGCTGACATTTCATTACATTCAGCATATTATTCTATTGAAAATTCACCACTTTCTTTTTTTGATACAGCTTATGATATTTGAAATAAGAAACGAAATGGTAAAATCAGTCATTTAATTCAAGTGCTTTTTTCGTTAAGTATATTAAATTTAAAAATTTTCTAAATTCGTCACCTCTGATTTCTGTTAAAACCAATTTCACAAATTTTATTAATGCTTCAGTTATAGACTCTATAATATTAAATCTTGTCTGAAATAACATAATCCAAAGTAAAATCCACAAAAATCAGTTATCAATGATTTTGTATTTGGTGTATTTTAAAATGGCTTGTAATCTGATAATACATAATCTTCAAAAGTTTCAAAATCATCCTTTACAAAAATATCATTATCTTCAGATTCACCTATAATATAATCTTCTTTAGTGGTAAATTCTAAAGATTTTGAATATTGATCAGCTTCTATTTCAGGATCATTAGAAGAATTTATGCCAGGTTTTGGATAATTTATATATTTTCTTACATGTCTTTGAGGTAAAAAAGTAGAATCAAAATCTTCTTGATATATATCATCAGATTCATGTTTGATAATTTCTATAATTCGTTTAGTCAAAGTCAATGTTGATGATTCTTCCATTTTGTCTTGTATTCTGAATTAATAAAATATATCTGAAATAAAACTTTGTGAATCTTGATATATAACTCTAGTATTATGAGAGATTGATGACCTAGAAGTAGATATATTTTCTTTATCAGTTAAATCACTAATCAATCTACTTGTTTTTTTATGAGAAGATATATTTAAAGATTGAAAAGTAGAAATATCTTCATTGATTAATCTAGAAATTAATCTATTTCTTTTATGAAAAGATGTATTAGAAGATTGACTAGATGAATCATCATCATCATCACCACGTAATTTAGAAATCAATCTTATTCAGCTTATTTTTATTTTATAATTAAAAAATTAAGAGGAAAATAAAAGTTCAAAATGGAGTTATTTTTGAGGATGATTTTAGTTAAATTTTATATTTTTTTAAAAAAGTGCAATAGTTTCGTAAATATTTATATTATTATATTAAACTATTATTTTTCTTTTTATAGAGATTGGAACTGGTTAATGTTCACCCAGATCACCCGTATTAAATTGGAAAGACCCAGATCAATATTTAACAACCCAGATATCTGTATTAAATTACCTAGGTTACTAAACTGGATTGATAATCCAGATAGGATTATATATCCCTAATTTAGATTGTTTTACAACAGATTTACTGAACTATATAAGATACAAAAAAAAAGAAATCTGCATTAAAAATATTAAAAAATGTAGTAAAAAAAAATTGGTTTCGATTGAAAATGTATCTTTCTTTAAATAAACGATAAATAAGAAATTAAAACTTTTGTTATATCATTTTAATTTTACCATGTATTGAAAGTTTAAATTTTACAATTTTACACTATCTTTTGTCTTATAAAAAAAATTATAATCCTGTTTACTACAATAAAAAAAAAAATTCCAATTTTTTTTTTTTCGCTATATCTATCTTCCATTTATTACAAAAAAATTGATTTTTTTTTAACTATACTTACCTTCTGTTTGCTACATAATTTTTTTTCACTATACTTACCTTCTGTTTCCGTTCACCACAAAAAAAAATTGATTTTTTTTTCACTATAAAAAGAATTCTTTGATTTTTCCTTGCTATACTTACCTTCCGCCTGTCACAAAAAAGAATTCTTTGATTTTTTTTTTTGCTATACTTACCTTCTGTTCACTACAAAAAATTCTTTGGTTTTTTTTACGCTTATTTTTCATCTGCTTTAATGGCTATAAGAATATTTAAAATGGATGATGAAGTTTGGGATAATATTTCTGATACAAATTCAGAAATAGATAGTACTTTTAATAATATATTCACTAGCTCTAATAGAACTCTTTCAACAGCCCCTCAATGTTCTATCAGCTTCAACAGTTTCTCTTGATGAAAATTAATCACATGTAATAAAAAAAAATAAAATTATATAAACCAAAATGTAAATATAGTTAAACTAGTTAGGTGTGGCAATATATGATCCAAGAAAATGAGTATGATATTTGTCAAGTTTCAGTTATAAATATGCAAAATGAAGAAATATGTTGTGGTCAGCGATTTTTACATGATGGATCTACAGGAAATATGGCAAATAATCTTTGTGGAAAGCATGACATTCATTGAAGAATGGATAAGATAATAATATTATAATTTATTTTAAATGAAGATGATCACTATATATTTATTATAAAATTTAAATAATTTTGTTTATTTAATTATATTATATATAGATGAAAGATAAATTTATTTAATTAACTATACCACAAGTAATAGAAAAGGCAAAGGTTAAACCACATAAAGAATCACGAAATCAAGAAATTAGGCAAGCCATTGCTGAATGGATAACTATTGACAATCTTCCAATTAATGTTATTCAGGGCAAAGGTTATCGAAAAATGATTATGACTCTTGATCTTACATTTCCAATTCCATCTAATAAAAGAATAAAGAAAAAAATTCATATTGAATATACCAATGCAATTGGAGAATTAAAAATATTACTTGAAAATACTTGTGAATCAGCTTCTTTGACAACTGATCTTTGGATGGCTAAGAGTAAACATGGGTATATTAGTGTAACTTTATATTAGATGTCAGAGGATTTTAAAGTATATGATTGTCTTCTTTATATGAAACGTATGCCATAATATACTGGAACAAATATTGTATCTTTTTTAAAAAAAAAGTGGTTGAATTTAGGTTGGAAGGAAAAATTACTTGTGTTGTAACTGATAACAGAAGTAATATGGTTAATGCAATTAATCAATGGGATGATATTGATAGTTTACCTTATGCCGCCTATACTCTGCAACTCTCAATTAATCGTGTATTTCAAAAAACTAAAGTTTATATTAAGCGGATTAAACGTTTGGTACACTTTTTTACAAGCTCCCCTAAACAGAGTGAATGCCTTGATGATGCACAAAAAGAATTTTAATGATATAATAATACAACTTCACAAAATATTTCTGATAGTTTTACTGATGATGATTCTGATGATAATGATAATAATACAAATGAACCACTAATGTTATATTCAGCCAATTCAAAAGAACCAATTTTATGAAATATTGCTAACATTAAAACTCGATGAAATTCTAAATATCATTTTTGGAATCGTTTATTAAAGTTACACAAAGCAATTGAATGGTTGGATGCAACTTTACCTTTATCTGATAATTCTGATGATCATGCAGATGGAAGAAAACTTAAAAAGCAGCTTTTATTACCTCATAAATGGGACTTATTGAAACAAATTGTGGATTTATTAGAACCATTTGATGATGCTACTACTTATTTTAGTGGAACATCTTATACCACTTTATCAATTATTTATCCTTTAATCCAAGTTCTCAAATTCAAATATGTATGTGAATCTTTTGAAAAAGATGATAATAATTTAGAAATAGAACAAGGTAAATTTGTCATGTTATTATTATATTATTTGAATTTATATTATTTG